TTAGCTTTAATAAAATAGCAAGTCCCCCTGAAATCTAGTAAGAACAACCCATCTGAAATTGTTTTTTTTTTTAAGCCTCCAAGCATGGCAATGTATCCATTGTAAACACAGCCAGAGCTATCTTCATGGTGAGATTCCGCTGAAGCTGGAATAACTGGTCTAACTGGGGTGAAGTGCCTATTAGGAAAAAAGAGTTGCTAGTAGAAATAACTGTCTAACTGATCAATGTTATTTTATTTACTTTTTAAAAAAAAAAGTGTGTGTGTGTGCGTGCGTGCGTGTGTGTGTGTGTGTGCGTGCGTGCGTGTGTGTGTGTGTGTGAAAACCAGTGACTAACTGTGAGTGCCTTCCCATGCATATTGCACTGTCAGACACATGATGGCAGTGCTGTGCCACATCTAGTAGTTTTAAGTAAAGCAAAGTTACTTGACTCTTACAGGTCGTGTCCATAAAAAAAAAAAAGTAATGACAGGTTATCACCAAGTGCTCTGCATGTGTTAAAAAAAAGAAAGAAAAAAAAAGTACTGTACAAGTTGTGTGAAATGAACAGTTCTGAAAAGGGTGAAGGAATATTTGTGCTAGAAGTTCAAATACAAGGAGCAAATTTAGGAAATATCAGGTTAAATGAAATCCTGAGTCGAGAATTCTTATCAGAGAAAATTATTTGTTGCTTGTATGAGTTTTAGTTGCAGAGTCGCACCCAGCGTCGTGTTTTTGAAGAAGTTGATTCCAGCGAAAGTTTTCACTACTGCTTTTTTTTTTTTTTTAAGTGAGGATGTGGCTGTGAGCTGTATGCAGGAGTAAGAGAGTGTTTCATATTCGGCCACTCACATGAGGTGGGGGTTTTTTTTGTTTTGTTTTTTTTACCTGCTTACATAAAAGCAAACTGGCAAGTTACCAGAAACCTTAAGGAAAAGAATTCCAGAGTTTCCAACCCAGTCACAAGCAATCGTTCAAATGCTTTTCATAGCTAAGCACCTGGTCCAGAATCCAGACACACCTTCTCACTCTGGTGGTTACTGTATCTTGTCCAGGCACACTTTCACATGTAGACCGGACCCACTCTACTTACCGAAGTAGAAAAAGAAAAGCCTCACTTCATTTTTTTGTTTTTGAATGATGATATAACTTCCCAGTGTCAAGTTCGTGTTAAGGTTTGTTTTTCATTTTCACATTTACCTATTAAAAGTAATTATTAACACAGTTTGACTACAATGTAAAAAAAAAAAAGTAAAGAGATGTAAACCTTCTCTGTGGTATTACTCTTTTCCTCCCATCTGGCAGCTCCATCCTCAACATCCTTTGTCCAGTCTATCCACCATCGCTCCTCTCCAGATGTCTGAGTCACTGACTCCACAGTCATTGGTTCTAACCATCAATCTCTTTTCAAACAACTCAACCTGAGCTGTGTCTCTGACATACTTATTTCTTATCCTGTCCATTGTGGTCACTCTCAACAAAAGCAAGAATCTTAGCATCTTCAACTATGTAAATTCACATGAGTAAAAACCTTCCTCTTGCAGATAAAAAACAAAACAGTTATCAGTACTGGAGACTGCGTTGCTGATTCAGCTGATAAATGAAAAAAACTGAGTCAGTTTGGCTCTGACTCTGTGAGAGGACGCAGATGAGGATGACATCAGCTGTTTTAATCAGATGCCACATAAAGAAAAAGGATTACATGCTCAATGTTCTAAAGCAGGGGTGGGGGAACTCAAGGGCTGGTGTCCTGCAGGTTTTAGATGTGTCCTTGATCCAACACAGCTCCTCCTCAGCATGTCTCAGTTCTCCAGAGGCCTGGTAATGAACTAATCATTTTATTCAGGTGTGTTGACCCAAGGTGATGTCTAAAACCTGCAGGACACAGGCCCTCGAGGCCTAGAGGTCACCCACCCCTCTTCCAAAGTAATATGACAGCTGATGGTTCCTGCAGTAAAATGTTTGTATACATTGCTTTTCTGCTGCTTTCGTCCACTTACATGCCAGCTTAGTGATTATTTATTTCCAAATTTTTATTAGAATTATCACGTGTTTAAAGATAAAGAAACTTGTTTAATTTTGGTAACTGCAGCTTGACCCTTACACTTGTGAACATGTCACATAAAAAATTTTTTTCGTGGATCAGTCAAGCTCTGCTGGAGCACCTCTGTTCATTCACAAGTGAGAGAGAGAGAGAGAGAGAGACAGTGGAAAACATCTTTCACAGAACATTGTGTTAGAGATCATGATAACAAACCTGTATTCTGCTTTCTGTTCCGTGACAGAGTAAGGCATGCTGTATCATGTGTAGGCGATCTGATATTATCGTACCCTATTTCTGTAGTGAACATGAAACCACATTCCAGTACAAAAAAGTTGAGTGGACAAACAATGCAGGAGGATAAGATGTAAATTTTCTGCTCAGTTGAACAGACTGTCTCTAGCCAAAATGCCATCTTTATCTGAAACAAGTTTATCCAAGGATGTAATCTGATTTGTCGGAAAGTGGAAAAGCAGGCATATTATTCCAGTTTATCCTAAAGACACCTCTGTGTGCAGTTGACATGTGATCTACCATGCAAGTCCTGAAATTAGGCCAAGCTAAATGTAGCTTGTGTTTTTCCCATGCTTTAGGTGTTGCCTCTGGCTTTGTTGCCTGCAATTGTGCACAGTCTCGCTACTCATGCACTTAAAAGCGCAATACAAATACAGGCCATTTACCATTTAAATATCCCTAATCTAGCTGGATCTTTTTGGTAATGAGGTTGTCCACACTTAAAGACTTAAACTGGAGCCTGGGAAGCTTTTCCTTATTCGTGTCCAAGAAGTTTTTTTGTTTGTTTCTTTCTTTTTTAGAAGAGCTGAGAAATGTATAGTCATTATTGCATTATTGGCTCAGTGCTAAACTGACAGCTTCACAGCTCCCCGAGTCTTCAGTTGCTCCAAAACACAACAGGTGGGGTAAGAGAAAGAAATGATATTTCTCCCATACTGGCTTCTCATCACTGGATCTGCCGCACCTTCCTGAGCTTGGTTCTGCCTGAGCTTTCTTCCTGTTAAAAGGGAGTTTTTCCTTTCCACTGTCACCAAAGTGCTTGCCCATGGGAGGTTGTCCCATTGTTGGGATTTCTCTGTATTATTCCAGGTCTTTGCCTTACAATAGTAAGTGCCTTGAGGCAACTATTGTTGTGATTTGGCGCTAAGTAAATAAAATTGAATTGAACTCTTTTCCTCACATATAAAGTCTTAAATAATCAGGTCCCATCATATCTTAAAGACCTTAAGATATCATAATTTCTGCATTTATTCAGGTCTGGATCAGGCAACCCTGAGCCAGGTTATGCTGCTACAGGCTCAGGCTGATGAAGGATGCAGGGACCTGCGGAGCCTGGTTCTGCTGGAGGCCTCTTCCTGTTAAAGTGAAGTTCTTTTCGCTTTAGTAAGGCTTTTACTAATGAAATTGAAGGTCTGTATCCTTGAACTTCAGGCACTGAAGCCTTATAATGCATATACATACCTTTTAGTGAAACAATAGGCCATATACATTTTAAATATAGGACACAGACACATTTTTTAATTACAGTTTGGTCATTTTTAATTGACTATCATAGAATGATAAAAGAACCCACCCACCACTTTAATCACACTCTAGATCTTGTTTTAACATATGGCATAGAAACTGAACATTTAACAGTGTTTCCTGAAAACCCTCTCCTGTCTGATCATTTCCTGATAACATTTAAATTTACAATAATTGATTACACAGCAGTGGAGAGTAGACTTCATCACAGTAGATGTCTTTCTGAAAGCGCTGTAGCTAAGTTTAAGAATATAATCCACCCACTGTTATCATCTTCAATGCCCTGTACCAACATAGAGCAGAGCAGCTATCTGAACGCTACCCCAACAGAGGTCGATTATCTTGTTAATAATTTTACCTCCTCACTACGTACGACTCTGGATACTGTAGCTCCTGTGAAAACTAAGGCCTCAAATCAGAAGCACCTGACTCCGTGGTATAATTCTCATACGCGTAGCCTAAAGCAGATGACTCGTAAGCTGGAGAGGAAATGGCGTGTCACAAATTTAGAGGATCATCATTTAGCCTGGAGAAACAGTTTGCTGCTTTATAAGAAAGCCCTCTGCTGAAAAAGTTTTTCATACATTTATTACTTCCAGGCTGGACTACTGTAATTCATTATTATCAGGATGTCCTAAAAACTCGCTGAAAAGTCTTCAGCTAATCCAAAATGCTGCAGCAAGAGTCCTGACAGGGACTAGAAAGAGCGAGCATATTTCTCCTGTTTTGGCTTCCTGTTAAATCCAGAATTGAATTCAAAATCCTGCTCCTCACATACAAGGTCTTAAATAATCAGGCCCCATCTTATCTTAATGACCTTGTAGTACCATATCACCCTATTAGAGCACTTCGCTCTCACTCTGCAGGCCTACTTGTTGTTCCTAGAGTATTTAAAAGTAGAATGGGAGGGAGAGCCTTCAGTTTTCAGGCCCCTCTTCTGTGGAACCAGCTTCCAGTTTGGATTCGGGAGACAGACACTATCCCTACTTTTAAGATTAGGCTTAAAACTTTCCTTTTTGCTAAAGCATATAATTAGGGCTGGACCAGGTGACCCTGAATCCTCCCTTAGTTATGCTGCAATAGACGTAGGCTGCCGGGGGATTCCCATGATGCATTGAGTTTTTCCTTTCCAGTCACCTTTCTCACTCACTATGTGTTAATAGACCTCTCTGCATTGAATCATATCTGTTATTAACCTCTGTCTCTCTTCCACAGCATGTCTTTATCCTGTCTTCCTTCTCTCACCCCAACCGGTCGCAGCAGATGGCCCCGCCCCTCCCTGAGCCTGGTTCTGCTGGAGGTTTCTTCCTGTTAAAGGGGAGTTTTTCCTTCCCACTGTCGCCAAAGTGCTTGCTCATAGGGGGTCATATGATTGTTGGGTTTTTCTCTGTATCTATTATTGTGCGATTTACTGTACAATATAAAGCGCCTTGAGGCAACTTTTGTCGTGATTTGGCGCTATATAAATAATATTGAATTGAACTGAATATCTCAAAATAAATATTAAACTGTGTCAAACTGTACATGGAGAAGCACAAATGTAAAGTTTACAATTTGCACATGTGTGATTGGATAAATTCAAACTACTGATATTCATCTCACATTATAAAAATGGCTTTAATCTCCAGTCTTTGCCAGGTGAGATTACCTTTAGGAAACTGGCAATTAACGCTGTAAAAATCATTAAATACACACAGCTGCTTCAGGTATATAATACATATCTTACATATCTTTTGAGCTACAGTGGGATTTATGATTCATGATATTTCCTTCAGAAACTGACAGACACCAAGCAGTATCTGTGTCATCATACAGTCTATATGTGGCATGTTCGAGTGATATGTTTGGCAAAATTTTGACTCTGACTTATGTCTTTTATTTACAAAAAAGTATGTATGTCCATACATCCCATGACCTCCTCTCACCCCTGTGCAATGCACTCTATTGTTTTCCTGCAGCCACTGCATACATTTCATTTATTTTCTCCTGGTACATTTTCACAACAATGGGCCTCCTCAGTTTCATGGTGGGTCCTAGAAGGACAACAAAGAAAAATAGGTTATTTTGATCTCATGATAAAGTTTAGCATTCCGCTGAGCTTAAAGAGATTAAATCACTGCTGAAAAGACTCCACGGAAACACTGTTTGGCAGTCACTCCAGTTACAAAACATTGACCTCGGTTAAAAATGATTAACAGTAAGTTAAAAAAAAAAAAAGCAGAAGCAAATACTTACTTTAAATGGCAGTGCTACATGTACTATACTTGTAGGAAAAGGAAAATAAATTTCAGATAGCTGACCTAGCTCTCCTCCGGTGACGGAGAAGTCTTGTTCCACTATAACCCACTTCTGGACTTTCTGGGCATTGGATGTTGATCGGGCATTAACACGCTCAATGCCAGCCTGAATGGCACTGTAAATAGCTGGCTCCTTATTGGCTATAATCTCGGACACCTTGGTTGCTTTTACGCTGTGCTGTCGGCAAAATTCCAAAGCCTCTTGATTCAGCTCATCTGTGGGCTCGCCATTGTCATCCACGACACACTGCAGAAAAAGAAACAGAAGTGGTAACTCTTTTTTTTTTTGCTTATTCAGCAACAATGCCTGTATGCAAAAAGAGAGGATCATTTACTTTAAGTGTGAGCAGCATGGAGAGGAACTTGAGCTTGTCTCCAATTAGCATGGCGTTGCTGATGATGGGCAGTTCAGACTTCACTGCATCTTCAATGGGGACAGGAGGGATGTTCTCACCACCCGCAGTGATGATGAGCTCTGTGCAGGAAAGACAAAAACGCGTCACCTCTTATTAAGTTGGCGTATCTCAGTATCTGGTTGTAGGGTTTTAAACAACTAGCAGTGAAAATAGGTAGTTAGTTCCACGCTTGACTTGACTTTTATGCACTCACTACACAAAAAAGTGTGATTAGACAACAATTCTGAAAAAGCATACTTTGAATTCTGCTGATCATTATGTCCAAATCACTATTTTAATTTATTATACAAACAGATGGGAATTACCTTGAGTAAAATGTCAGTTTATGGTGTAAAAAAGAGAAGAAAGAATTAAAGCTAGAGAAGACAATCATCTTACACCAGCTGTAAGTGGTATTAATTCAAACTGTAAGTCTCTAGGCATCACAGGAACTCAGCCATGAAATGTCCAGGTTCACATTGCCGAAGCTCTAGCTCTGCTGACTCAGTAATTGCAGAGTATTAAACCTACTCTGGCATTAACATCAGCTCAAAAACTGTGTGCCAGGAGCTTCGTGGTGGCCGAGCAGCTCCTGTAGGTTTAATGTGTAGGTGGCCCAGTATTTTTGTCCGCAAAGTGTAAGTAAGTTATGTGTTTGCTTGTTTGTTTTTCAAATGTATAATGTACACTTTTCAAAACATAAGATGTTCTTCTAAAGTGTGTGCTATTTTTCCCCCAAAGGAGTTAGATTTTAATGCTGGTAGTGCTCAAATAATCAGATGGTAAATCTGTGACATGTTTGTGTCAGCTCCTCTGGCGTTGTATTATTAGGGTAATATTTCAACTACTGTTAAAGCTAAGGTAGCTCTGACAACTTTATATACACTCACAGTCGCTTTATTAGGCACACCTTGCTACTACTGGGTTAAACCCATTCCCACATAGCAGACAGGTCTGGCCCTTTTATACACGTGTGTGTGGGGGGGGGGGGGGGGGGGGGGGGGGGTCAGAGTGTGACCCCATAAAGACTTCCCTAAACCAGCTAGTCTGGAAGTCCAGCAGTTCATCTAAACAAAAGGCACTTAGACTAAAACTGACATAGTTACGTTTACCCTACCATAAAACAAAAAAAAGGTACGACCTCTCCCATGCTCCTAGGATGTGGGTGTGAATGCCAGACCACTCTGGAATGCACACAAAGTCTTGTAGTGAACAACAGCCTAAGTCATCAAAAGGTCAACATGCAGTATTCTACCATATGCAAACTTATATTATTAAAAGATTATACTGACTACTAAGTGCAATTTTCTATTGACAGCATGCCACATCCGGCCCAATTGTGGTTTGGTTTATGTGGCTCAGGCTCATAGAAAACAGGTCTGGCATCAAGCTGGCATTTCTGACTGACTGGTGTCATGGCAGGGTGTATGTCAACCAGAGGTGGGCTAGGTCTGGCAATGATGGCACTATTTATGTTCCTATGTTCCTATTTTAGTTAGAAGATCCATATGCCATGTTGCAATACTGTACTGCTATGGTAGCCAACGTTTCAAAAGCAGGTTTGACAGGTTTGTGAGTGTACACTTTATCCAAAACCTAGTGACGGTTTACTCATATTTGCCACCAGGTGACTGTAGAGCAGGTCACCTACTGGTCGGAACGTTAGTGGTTCGATCCTTGGCTCCTCCAGTCTGCATGTCAAGAGTGTGAGTGTGAATGAATGTACTTAGGAAGCACTTAGTTTAGAGAAAGTGTGTGATTGGGCCATGTTGTATAGAGTGCTTTGAGTGATCTGGTAGAATAGAAATAAGAATCAGTCCATTCACTGTCTGAACGGAGGTTTGTCAAGTTACATTTGCACTATTATGTTCTGGCACACAACTTACACATGGCCCACATACCGCAAAGAATTGTGGCCCAGATTTGGTTTGCCAGAGGTAATCCACACTTGGGCCAGCGCAGAACCAACAGTATGTCTACACCTGGCCTTGTGCTGGCCCATGTGTGGGCCACCTCTAGCAAACCAAAGGGCCGTCATTCTTTGCGGTACGTGGGCCATGTGTAAGCACATAGTGTGGGCCAGATCTGGGCCACACCAATTTTGCTATGTAGGTTTTTGCCTTCAGAACTGAACTTTTCTCTCTGAGCAAGGTGCTGGAAACAGGGCAGCAGTTTGAAATGATTTATGCTTTGTGACATGGCATGTTTACCCACTGGTTATATCTTAGACTCTTCTTAGTGCTTGAACTAGGAAATAGGAAAGCATTTCTGAACTTGGTTAGAAACAGGTTCAGCTGTTTTGTTGCCAGTGGCAGTCAATAGAAGTGTGATAAGTGTGTCACAACTATAACCTAAATGTGTCTTTTGGTGCATTTTCTCCCAGATTCAGAGCTATAGCTTACCCTTGATCCTTCCTGTGATATACAGAAAGTCTTGTTCATCATATCTTCCCAGGTCTCCAGTGTGCAGCCAGCCATCCTCATCCAAAGCCTCTGCTGTTTTGTCTGGCATGTTCAGGTAGCCCATGAAGATATTACGACCCCAGAAACAGATCTCTCCATTCCCATCCGCATCTGGATTCACCAGCTTTATCTTACAGCCTATCATCACCTTTCCACAGCTGGAAAGACAAATCAAAAGCCAGTGATGTGACCAGAATCTGCATTAAAACTTTTAATTGAGCACATAGAAATCAGAGCAAAATAACACAAATGTGGCTTAAATATGATCATTTAACATTTTAAGGAGATGGTTGTACTCCTAAAAACAACAATAACTCCTGGCCCTGACACTTTTTTTTTATATTATTGACTTTTTACAGTAAGAAGCTCCGTAACAAAATTTAATATTTTAATACGTTTGGACAAACATTTTCAAATTGTGTCTGTTTTCTGATGCTTTAGTCTAAATGAACCATCCTCATTTTTATTTAGACGGGAAGTATGAATATATAAAGAGCTGTGGCTGCCTCATGAAAAAGAGAGATCATCTGCAGACTGCAGAGATATTTGAAATAACACATGGTAATAATAGATAATGGAGTCAAAAAACTAATCATCACACAAATTACTAAAACTAAAAATATACAAAATATACAAAAATATGACAGAAAGTGTCACAGAAAGAGCCCAGTTAAGCAGAAGCATCGAGGTTGTGTAATATTTTTTTTTATGTTTTTATTGTTTTACATGTAAACAGGTGTTTCCTCAGGCTTTTAGGACTTATTCTTATGCTTTTAAATATATTTCGCTCTTTCACATACAGTTTTTTTATTATTATTATTATTTTAGAGTATTTCTTCCCTCTATTTATGTGTGAGCATGAGCACTGTCATACAAACTTCTCCTTCACTATAAAAGAGTTCACTTTACTTCTGCTCTATTTAGAATTTATTAGAAAGCTGGTATTTTATACTCAGGCTGTTTAACCAAATATAAGGTTGTTGTAAGTTCCTGGTAATATGGGGATTACCCTGTAACTAGTTTATCAAAGGTCAATGTCAGCACTGGACAACGTGGGCACTTGTAACATACCTGCTCATCTTTAAAGAAATATGCCTCTGCAGTCATCCTGAGCTCTACAGAGCTTGAAGCGACTTTCAAGCTCAGTACAAAAACAAACTCCAATAAACCCACTGTTCAGCACCAAGGAGCAGACAAAGTTAAGTTTTTTTCCCCCTCAGAAGGCAGTAAAAACAAATTCAGAGCTGGAAACAGTGAATCTAGGACTTCAGATGGACTGAAGTGTTGATTCAAAGAAGTTTTGTTGCTGTGATTAAAATAAATAGGCCACTGCTAAGAAGTCTATTTCCTTATTAGATGCTGTCAGGTTTTTGTTTACAGTTATTACGTTGGCTATAATCTATCAGGTATGCTTGATGAAAAACAACCATCTATCACCTTCAACACAATATTTTTTGACCCCTACTTTAACCACAATCCAACACTTCAGTCACGTCGATGTCTACCTTGTGACGCGGTATTCATCGATAGAGATGGTGTGAGGGCCAGAGCTTTCACTCATGCCATACAGCTCTTTCAAAGGGATGTTCAGGCTCATGAAGTAATCCAGTGTGTCTTTGGTAATCGGTGCAGCTCCAGTGCAGCATATTCTGCAGCGGTCCAAGCCCAAAGCAGCACGCACCTTCTTGAAGACCAGATTATTAGCCAGCATGAAGCCCCACGGCACCTGATTCTGTCTGTAACACACAAAATAAACCAATATTTTATCAAAATTATTGAGGATCTTTTTTGTTTAGGAATAATGAACTTAACGAAACTTAAAATATGATTTTAAATAAGGTTTTTCTAGGTAAAGCTGAGCATCACTGGCCGTAGTGCAAAACGCCTGGCCAGAGTCTTGCATGATTTTTTTTTCACTCTCTTTCTCCTTTTATTTGTTTAACCAACACAAAGAAAATCAAAGTAATTTGAGAACTGACCAGCTTCAGCCTAAGGCACCTTCTTTTATGTTGTGCAGACCTGATTGGCCTCACCCTGCTGGGTTATCCTGCAGCCCTGGTTTGAGACTTTCCTCTTCTCTTCATGTTTCTTGCTTTACTTTGTAATTTTATAATTTATTTATTCTGTCCTCTTGTACACTGTGCAAGTTTCTTAATGTTTTTCTTGTTTCTAAAATTATTCTGTAAATAGTCCGCTCACAGTGTTTGGGGGCTTGTCCGAGTTACTTCAAAACTGCTTTGAGAAAGGCAAATTTACTACAGTTCTCAACACTATGAGATAAACAAATACGTGAAGAACCGATGACATTACCATCACTCACAACTGCACAAATAAATCTTTCTATGCATTATGAATGTTATAAAGTGATGGCCTGGGGATGTTAAACTGTACAAACATGTGACGTGTTCGTCTAACATCCCTGCTGCTGTCTCACCCGTTCATGACACTGTAGTTGTACTGCAGGCCAATGGACTTGGCAAAGCCTGCCACTCTCTTCTTCATTGGGGATGCTTTGGCTCCCACAGCTTTCATCTTCTCCTCGATCTTCTCCCACACACGAGGAACTCCCAGGAAACAAGTTGGGCGAACCTCTTTAAGTGTGTTTACTAAAGAGCCCTGGAAAAATTAATGGTCATTACAGTCAAATATATTTAGTTAATGTTTCCTTTTTCATGAGGTAATAGTCATGCTTACTTTAAGGGCATCTGGCTCTGCAAAGTAGATGGTCCCAGCAAAGCCCATGCAGACCCAAATATCAATCATCTGGGCTGCGACGTGGCTGAGCGGCAGGTAACTGACCAGGATCTCCTCACCGCCTTTTGCTTTTAATATGGTACATCCCACATGGGCAGTCCATGTTATCTGCACATTTAAAAGTGGGGAAAAAGTCACCAGGTATTTTCTTTCGCCAAATATTTGTCTTGAATCTTTAGAGTACTCCTCTCACACATTGATCGAAACAACATTATGAAATTACAGTAGAAGAACTCGCCAGATTATATAAAAGCTCTCTGGTTGAACCACTAGTGCTATGCTTTAACTCTTTGAAGAGTTAAAAGCTTGTCCTTACAACCTACAGCCTGCATAAGATATGCTGCAGTAATTCAGCTTGTTGTGCAAATTCAATTTTATTCATGTTTATTAAAGGTGCTAGAACTAAGCTAATGAAGTGAAAACTGGAGCTTCATAATGAACTATTCCTGATGCAAATGAAACATAAAAAATAGAGCTCAAATACTTAAAAAGCAGTAAATTGGTACAAGACTATCTCTCTATCTAAGTTTTTATTATTTCAGTTTGGTATGTTTTCATATGTTATGTGAAGTGTAACATTTTGCTCTCTCTTGCAATGATAAAAAATACCAGATCCAGATTTTGGAAAGTTGTTCACTTCTAACTTGAATCAGGCTCAACTTCAGGCAAAATGTTTATGTAAATCCATCCATGAATTGAATGAATTGTGCTAACAAGCGAAACTAAGCCAGTTATTTTGGCTAATCTCCTTCTACGTGAAATTTGTGGTTTTTCTGACTTTTGATCATTTAGAACAGGGGTGTCAAACTCAAGGCACACTTTAGGTCACGGGCCAAACAAGATAAATATTTATTGAACACACTGTTTATGTTTTTTAAACATAAATATGAATAAAAAAAAGACAGGAATAATATTCCAGATTAAATAAACTTAAAAAAAATAAACTTTAACTTTAAATATTTTGCTCTTCATAAAAATATATCCTGTCAAAATTATGCAAGTTAGAAATATGAACATGCTGCCAAAACCCCCAGAAAAAATAAATGAAAGCATATACAAGGTTGGAGCCGCATGTAGACGGAGCTGGGCATTGCTTCAGGAATGGAACTAATAAACTGTGCGGGCCATTCAGTGTCGTACTTTCCCTTGAGTCTATCATTACACTGCAGCTCCATCTGAATCTGCACATGTGCAGTTCAGCAAAGTCCGCTGACTTGGTTCAACATTAATTGGCAACAGGGAAAGTGAGGCAAGTTGCACTGGTGCATTTGTGACAACTTCACTTGAAATGTCTTCACCGCATCATACATGCCATGTCCATGAACTGACAGATTTCCTTGCTGAGCTCAAAAACTCTATTGAAAATTTTTATCCCAACTCAGCCAACGGACCTCTGTATGATGAGGAATGTCGGCAAACTCTGAATCTATTTCCCACATAAAAGACTGAAATTGACGGTGATTTAAACTTTTAGCTCCGATAAAATTTACGGTTTGCGTTACGGTGATCATTACATGCTCCATTTTTAGGACTTTACCACACAGCCTTTCCTGCTGTATGATGCAGTGATATGCAGTTCTCCCCCTGCATCTTTACTCGCATCCTGCTGACTAGTCCACTTTTTTCACCGCACAACACCGGCGCTCCATCTGTTGTAGGTCCAACAAGTTTGTCCCAGGGCAGTTTCATGTCGGTTACACTTTGACATACGTTTTAAAAAAAGTCTTTTCCTGTCATTGTTCCGTGCGATTTAATGTTCAATATTTCCTCTCCACGGATGAAGATGGCCAGCTGTGCAATGTCCATCATGTCTATACTTTTCTTGTCTATACATGTCTGTACTTTTCAGCTTATCCTGACGTTTTGTCTCGTAGTGCCGTCTTAAATAAAATTCCTTAATTACAGCCACATTAGCTCCACTAATAAGACACACAGGTTTACCAGCAATGCCAGTGTAACTACCTCCCCTCCCACCTCTGCCCAGCGCAAAGCACAAGGCTCGCATGCAGAGTGAAGCGGAAATAAGTGCGAGAGAGAGAGAGAGAGAGGGTGAGAGAAAGAAAAAAAAAAAAAACAACCCATGGCTCGCGATAAGGAGCCGGCTCACGTCGTTCACGTCAAGGATCCGGCTCTAAGAGCCATTTCGTTTGCAACCGACACATCACTAATGCATAACAATAATAATACAGCTATATAAAATGATCTCGCGGGCCAGATATAAATGTACGCCGGGCCGGATGTGGCCCGCGGGCCTTGACTTTGACACGTGATTTAGAACAAGACAGAAAAAAGCTGCAATCTGAGCCTTAACAATTTGATGGCTACTTAATAAAATTAGCAGTATTCAAAGACTTTTCAGTTCAATCTTAAATCTTAAAAGCCAATACCTTTTAGAAGAAGAGAGAGAGAAATCTCTTGTCAGGGCTACTCACATTGTCATGGCTCAACATGACTCCTTTAGGGTTGCCAGTGGTTCCAGAGGTGTAGATGAGGGTGCAGCACTCATTGGGCCGAAGACTGTCAATCACAGCATTCAGCTGCTCATCGGGCACATCCTCTCCCAGCTTCATGAACTCTTCCCACTACAGAAATAAGGAGGTTGAATCAAAACAGTGCATCAATGATAAGTAAATAAATGTTTGCTATGTAGACGTACTGTATACAGGAACGGAGCTTTCTGCTGTAGCTCGCCTTTGTACTGAACAATGGCTCTCAGATGAGGTAGATGATCTTTAACCTGTTAAAAGATACAAAGATAACATGTGAGGACAGAACCTCACTCACAAGTAATACATGTATTACTTTATAAAGAGATGGTGGTGAATTAAGATGAAACTGCCGACCTGCAGGATTTTGTCGAGCTGTTTCTGGTTCTCCACAACCAGGACATTGGCCTCACAGTTGGCAGCCACATACTGACAGGCCTCTGGTGAGTTTGTGGTGTAAATCCCGGCTGCCAGCCCTCTAAGGGACAAACAATTGCTTGAGCTATATATTACCTTGTATGAGTCACTGTCATGTGTTACCAGTTTGGCTACAGCTTGATGTGAAGTGGAAAATAATTAGATATTTTGTTTGGTGAACAGAAATGAGTATTTTTTTAAACTGTAGATTAAGCAAGAAAAACTAAATAAAGTGAGGGGTGATTACGCCTATCCCAGCTGGCACAGGGCGAGAGGCAGACGGCCTTTCACAATCACACTGATTTTAGAATCAAAAATTAACCTAACCCTGTTCCATGTCTTTAGACTATGGGACACAAATGGAATTCATTGGAGGAATTCTATTTGTGCACTTGTGCAGTTTGTGGCGGTGTCCGAACTGCACAAGTTGAATGTCCCTTAGTACTTCCTGACAGCTTGAAAAAATGCCAAATATCACATCCATGTAATTTTAACTGAGCCTCATGTGGGTGGAGACACAAACAGAGGTTCTGAGATAAGAAAGGACAAAGATAAATGTGCATGTCAGACAGTGCAGAGGTAACACAGGTCCAAAAGTAGACTAATTTAAAATGTTATCAGATTCAGTTCCTTATAGAGTGATCTTACCCGGCCAAGATGCAGCCGATGTCTGAGATGAACCACTCAGCGGAGTTGAATCCCAGAATCCCTACACCATGGTAACGCTCCAGCCCCAACTGATAAAAACAAAGGACAGGTAGATGCTTTTAAAGAAGAAGTGACTTTAATTACACAGCGCAGCAGGCGTATACCTTCGTTACTTCTGCGTCTTGTTGCATTAGCCACTCCACTCACACGGGACACAGATATGGCTGTGAAACATAAAACGTAACACAAGCTGGGCATTTCACACACCCAAGTTTCCAGCATGCTGTTCTCACATCAAGAAGATTAAGATAAGAAGTGCTGTTTATAAAAACTGGGCCAGGAGTTAAATTATTTATGCAGCCTTCAGTTCAAAAAGTATTGTTCAGTTACATAAACACAGCTTTCTAATTAAAAACAACCAAAAAACAAAACAAAAACCGAGTCGATGTTTGTTTAAATCAGAATTCTAACAATCATTTGGTTACTTTGTTTCTAATTCAGAGCATTTGATGACTTAAAAGTTCTAAGTTTGCGCTTTATAGGAGCACAAGTGTCAAATCCTCTAAGCGCCTGGGTTTGAGGTTAATTCAGGAGGCAACAAAGACCTTTTAAGGCCAAAGAGCAAGAATGGGTGCAGGAAAGGTCTAAGGGAGTGATCCCCAGCATCTGCTGATCTCTTGGTTAAAAATGACAACTCTGGCAACTTGGTTTACAACTAACTTTGTGAATGAATGACAACAGCATATGTTAAAATGAATGACTGCACTGTATGCTAAATAAATGCTTAAATTATTTAATTATTTCACAATTCTTAAAATCCAACTTTACTCTATGAAATAATGTTTAAGGCAAATTAATAACATTCTAAAGATCTACGACTGCCAAATAGCTTCTTTGCATTATATTTGAAGTTCACTGAAGTGTAATTTTTGTTCAACAGATGCAGGACGATTTGCAAAACAAGCAAACAAACCTTGAGAAAGCTTTTCGCAGCTGCACGACACTGCTCGTAGTATTGGTTCCAGGTTAGAGTCATCCACTGGCCATCTTTTTTGGAAACCAAAGCTGGATGATTCCCATACTTCTCGACTGTCTCCAGGAACATCTGATGGACGGTGATGGGAGCCTCTGAGCCTGGCCCTGATTCCTCCATTCTCAGCCTCACTGCCTGCTCTCTGCCGGTGCTCCATAACTGGTCAGCTGGGGCTAGATTTGTTGCCAAATGGGCCGTCGACAGGGGAACTGCCTTGGGCTCTTCTGTATTGCGAGAACAAGGGCAGCTGCATATACTCTCCATGAATCACAAGTCAAAAGACACAGCTAGTCAGGTGTATCACAGGACTGCAGATATCTCTGTGCTGTTACCCTAGGTGAGTTACTTTAATGTGCAGTGTGCAGTGAAGGCTCTGCTGTTATCTGAGCTGAAACAGGAAGTTCCACATTACAAATGCGTACCTAACAAACAGGTTCAGCCAGAAGAAGTCATGTGATTTTAGTTACAGGACTGAATGAGCACACAGACAACATACTAAATTCTGCCATCCAGTAAAAATTCTCGAGTGTTTCACGTGGTTTTAAAAGGCATGTTCAAGACGATCTTTAGCACTTGATGCCCCAGTAATCCTGTATGCTTCAGCATTCCTAAGAAATTTTAAAGCCTTGCAGCCATCTGTCTTTATGAGAGGAGTGATTTCTTTTAAGTGCTATTGTCTTTTTTGTTTTCATATTTCCCGAAAATTTCTTTTCCTTCCAGCTTGCGGTCATTTTATGTCTGAAAATATCTAAAATGATATTTATTTTCTTGTTTCCCCACAGAGTAGGTTATATCTAGCCTTAAATGCCTTTGTGTTTTGACATTTAAAGTGACAAAGTTTATTCATTAGCTTTTTTACAGTTTGCAAATGCTTTTACGTATTCAGTCTTCTTATTGAAAATAATTATTTAAATCAACCTAAAACAAGATAATAAACAGAATTTGTTGAAAAGAAGTGGGTGTCTTTCACTCTAGCTTCTTATGTGAAAACTTTGTGGTTTACACCCAAGGACAGACAATTTTCTTTTAGTTTGGAGGCATACCGTTACCATCGCCATTTCACCCTTACCTGTGGAAAATCCTTCAGTAGCTCCCTTCTGCTCAGACGATATGGGAGGCTGGGTCAGTAACTCAGTGTTACTGAGTGGATGGATCTTTGGAGGCAGTGTTGCACTGAAGTCGCCCGTCTTGGCTTTCCCATTGAGTATGACAGATGTGTGGGTCTTTATATCTGTGGCATCTGACTCAGTTTGAGCAGGAATGCTGGAGCAGACACTGAGATGACACGAATGAGAACTGATGATAATCGTAAAATCTAATTTTTAGATAGTTTGAAAAGAAGTGGTCCTATATTATCTATTTGACCTGCCCAGGGACTCATCTCTCTTTACATACCTTTCCATGTTACCATCCATAACTGCAGGTCTATTGCTCTTCATAAATTAATTTTCTTTGAGCTTATGTCTGCTAGAAACAGAGAAGATGAAATTAGCATGAAAACCCTCCAGAAACCCTCCACCGAGGACTCTCCAAGCAGTTAAGATTATGAAACAGCATCACTCCACTCATTTATATGTGACTGACATTCACCAAAGTCAGTGCAACAGGTCACAGCCAGTGACCGCATGTGCTGCCAATCACACACGCAGCAGCAGTGCATGTTGAAACTACTAGTATTGCGGCAAGAAGCATTGCTAAATCCACGTAGACTTACTTTGCCTCCAAGCAGCACCTTTCACCCAGATAATCGTGAAAGTGCTGCCATTACCAGTTAACATACTGAATAACAATCATGTCAGACTTAAAATAACTCTTCCTTGGCCTGTGCTCTACACAGTGAATGAATGCCCTCTAATGTGAATATTTAGCAACAGCAGAAACAAGTGAAAAGTTTTCTGCAGATATTTTCCTCCAAGTTCAATTAACTGCACCAATAAAAGCAATCAGTCTTTTTGCAGGGATGTAACAACAATAAATCTGATAATCAATGTTGCACCAGATTTCTAACAAATGCTGACTTTGTGTTAAAGATTGAAATCTGTCAAGATAAGCAGGATCTCAGTCCAACCTCAAAATTTCAAGATTGCCCTTGACAAGATTTCTCTGGACCAAAGTTCATAAACTTACAAAACTGCAGTTTGGCAACATTAAGTAGCAGAGGAAAAACCTTTGCTCCAGATTATGTAAAAACTTTATAAACTGTCCTGTGATGCAAACAAATTCATTTTAGCCTCACTGGTGACTTAGTTCTCACATTACACAGAAAAACACCTTAACTATTGAAAATGCATTGGAAAATCTAAAAACAGCAGCAGTGAGAGATGTTAACTCTCTGTGGATGTGCCTGCTCACATCTATTCCTACGTTTCAGTCATATGTTTGATTTAACACATTCACTATGCATCTCCAGAGCCGTGTTTAACCTGAAGTGTACATACTCAGTGAGGAAAAATGGAAAAAACAGCACAAACAAGTCTGAATTTCTATGAGTAAAAATAAATCTTTATGCACATCCTGCAGTCTAAATAGCAGTTTATTCTTTTCTCACTTAACACATTCAAAAGACAGAAATCTCTGCTGTAGAAATGATATCCTACCTTCTCTGCTGACAGACCCAAGTGGCATCAACTTCAAGGCTGCAGTCAGGTGTGAGACAAAATTGCATCAACCTTTGCTCAATGCAGGTTCACAGATGTTGCCCCCTGGGGTAAATATCAACGCACAGGGGATTTTGATAAGATTGACGTGTTCCTTGGTCTCACGAGACTTGCACAATCCTTTCAACATCTCCTGCAGAGGTTGTGTCAACCAGATAGAGCTGTACAAGGAGAACTGGCTAAAAAAAGTTTGGATTTGCACTAAAAAGAAGTGAGTTTAATCCAGTGGGTTTCAGATCTGCTTGTAGCTTTGTTTGGAGTTTCTAACAGCTATAGGCACTGGTTATATTCAGTTGCAGGATTATGTGTCAAGCATCCAATAAGATAACAAAGCTTTGATGGGTGGGGGTATTATTAAAGTGTTTATTGTCTCAGTTAAACTTGTGATGGCGGTTATTATCACATGAAGGATGAGGCCGGTCATAGAAATAGATTATAAAACTAGATGATATCTCTCTGGGTTTATGAGGCGATACTTTGACCTAGCAAAAAACAACAACAACAAAGTTTTCAGCATAAGGACAACTTGTGCAAATCTTTGCCCACCTGACTTTATTGGCACATCAAGAAAAAGGAGATGTCAGCAATAAAAAAGGATGCATTCCTTTAAAAAAAAATCTCTTTAGTTCTTTTCTGAGATATAAAAAGAAATCAATAAGAAACGATAATGGAAAAGAAATATTTAATCATTAACAGAGTCCTCTTTTAACCATCTTTTATCCTCCCTGCGCCATTAAAGGCAGTGAACACTGTTTTCTAAGCAAATATAGGGGAAATGTTATGCTTTTGACACATGGTTACCTTGCTCACAGGAACTAAGGTCACTGAATCATACCACCTAGTCACACCATAGCCACTCCAACTGTGACTCACAGTGGTAGTCTGGGCACAAGCCATGTGTTTGAACCATTAATCAGGGGCTTCATCAGTGCCAGCAGCCATACCGACCAGACGGACACTAAAATACACACAAAAATGAGCTGCAGACTGCCTCCCTTTAAACAGGGTCCAATTTGTGATAAGGCTCCACAGAGATAGTAATGGTTATTACATAATAGACCATATACATTTCTCTATTATGAAACGTCTCCAGTGGACGAACATTGCTGACTTGTGTTCAGTGCAAAGTGTGAAACAAAAATACTTAAAACATCAAACTTTTTGCAGTTTTAAAGGTTTCTTCCTTATTAACAACTACGGAAAGCTTACTACTTATTAGTGCTTTACAGCAATACAGCAAGTTCGTTCTAGGAGCAAAACATTTAACCCCTACAGGGTGTCAAATCAAAGGGCCCACACATAAGAAAGCAAATATAAAAATAACTCAAGTGTTTTAAAAGAAAACAAATACAAGTTTAAAAGGTGTTGAGTACAGTCTGGGCAGGTCACTTGTATTTACTGTCTAGGTTTATTAGTTAATATATGCTTATATCACACATATATATTTGCAGCTCCGTTCCCGAGGTTACACTATCCTGTGGGGGGTTGCAGGAGGAGGAGGATTTTCCACAGCATGGCAACCTCAAACACTTCATTACTGTTAAAGCATTAGTATAACATTATATAATTAATCTTATCCTGGGCTTGGGCGTAGCTCCTCAGTTCATTTGCTGTCTGAAATGAGCTGTTGAGAAGGTTTGAAGAGCAGGTGGGTGAAGGAATAAACTGCCTGAAGCTGAGTGTTTCTGGGCAGAGTGAAGCATGAACTTTTCCTCTGAGAGGGATTACTCGCACATATCTGACCTCGTTGTTTTGAACCTTTGCTCTTAAATGTGAGCTGCTACCATGGTAACAGTATCCTGACTTGATTAGAGATTAAAGAACTGACTTGAGCTTTATTGTTCCATAACAGAATGTGTCTTTATTTGCAGCCATATCAAACATCAACTTCTGACTTTTCCTTTTCACACATTTTTTCCAACATATTTACATTGACATCAGCTTTGTGTATAAACAGGTATTATGCCATTATTATTGGATTAAACTGAGACACCACAGTAAATGTGAAGCCCTTATCCTGGTGGCCATTTCATCTGTCTTCCTCCCAGGACGTGGATGTGAAGGTGGTAGACGGACTGAGCACCGTGCTTCCCGTCGTTGATCACTGGGAATTCAGTGTGGATGTAAACAAACAGTCTGTATAGTCACATTAATGTCTGGAGAATCATTACGGTAAAATGGTCTAACTTACCCACTCTGTACCCTTCAGTCAGAGATTCTTGCTTTGCCACATTTTTGGCAACAACCAATAAATGTCCTAAGAGCTGAAAGTGGAGAAAAGGAGAGCTGCAGAGATTATTTCCAGTCGACAGTGAGCTGTAAATGAAGCAGTTATGACTTCTTAAAGATTAATATTTAGCGTGTCCGGTCACAGAGGAGACCAAACTGGATGTGAGACCTACAGCAGGCTCATCCAACTTCGGGACTGATCCTGGGATTTCTGAACTACTTCTTACATGGTAACTTGCTGTGATACTAACCTGGACTAGAGCAAGTTACGTTCCAGATCAGTAATCATCAAGTATGAAATCAACGCCTACTGACCACTCAGATCTCCAGGAAATAGCGTCACCTTTCGTGAAGGATTCCTCAGACGTCTGTGCACGTACAGTAGGAGGTTTTAAAGTTTTTTAAATATCGTCTGAAGTCTTTGTCTTTTGGTAATGAGCACCAATAATAACAACAGATTCATACAAGAAACTATTTGTTGATTTGTTTTCTTTTTCCAATTTTACAACAATGTTATTGCTCTATAAGTGTTACTATCAAATCCTAAAACAGAACACATATTTGTGCTTGTTGATTTCTTTTTTTTTTAAATCTGATTTAAAAGTAGTATACGCCTTCTGTTTTTAGATTTCTTTATTCTTAGACTGTTAAACAAGGGAATCTAGATAACAACCGTAATATCTGTCTGTATATCTACCTAATCTGTGTTTGAATTTTAATCTGGACGGCTCGACTCCTTTACAACTTCCCTGCTATATTATTTTATTTACCTGATATCTATTTAGGATTATAGGTTGCTTCCCTTGTGGGAAATATGAGGCTGCAGACCAGCCCACATTTGTTGCTGGTTATTTGATGTCAACACTGCCCATTCAATGCAAAAACACTCATACTGGTTGTTACATTAGGAAAGCCAGAAAACAAAAGAACATCTGGGCATATTTAACCTGCTCTTTGGTCCAAGACCCTGGTTTAAGGCTACACTCTGGGTAGTACTGGTTTCAAATGAGGGAAAGGTAGTGCCTTTAGTGCTTCACCTATAGATTTCTTCCAGTGCTGTGACAACAGTTTGGGGTGAGCTGGTTCTTAAATGCTCTGGAAATTAATTTCACAGACATGTCAAATAGTAAAAAACATAGACTTATAAAAAGGGAGCATGTGCTGCACAATCTCACTGCTTGTGACATGATCTGAGAGTCTAGACAAGAAAACACCAGTTTACCTCAGCGTCATCATCTTTGGCCTCACTTATTCTGGGAATAGGAATCCTTGGAATAACCAGGAAGTGAACAGGCGCCTGTGGACTGATATCCCTGAATGCCAAACACTGATAAACACAGAAAAAAAAATCTTATATATGAAGGACTGAACTGCAGAAATGTAACCACAAAATGTTTATTTATGAGCTCAGACTGTACCTTTTCATCCTCATAAATGATATCTGCAGGGATGCTTTTGTCGATCACTTTGGAGAAGATGGTTGGAGCTGGGGAGCCGTACTTCTTGCTGGCTTCCTCTGCCAGCCTCACCTCGTCACTTTTGGTGCACAGGGGTCTCTGGGGGTGAACAACAGGCATGCATCACACATGGGGAAATCAAAAAGCTGTTTTAAGTACGTGTCGCAATGAAACCAAACCTCTTGGTGGTGGTGGGGCACTGCAGGTTCACCACAGCCACCACCAGTAGGATAGGTATTGTCAACATGCTGTGCAGCAGCTAATGAAAGGAATATGTTGACAAGAATGACAACAGGACGGTTTATTTTGATAGCAGATACCTCGCTTCGACAAACATGGGGGAAACGGCTGAGCTTAGCCGCTCTTGTCCCGAACAATGGTGTCCGCAAAATCTGACGACAGTACATAGCTGGCTTTTACAGTTTTGGTGGAAATAATTTTGTGTCTATATATTTTTAAAGGCCGAACAGCCTGTTTATTGACAAAAACACTGCACCTCACCAGAGCCGTTGCACCGTCTTAAAAGTCCAACTTTGACGTAGCCTTCGGGTACTCCCCTACCGTTTGGATTGTTCATGCTGCATCAAATCTCTACTAGCGTCTGCCACCGTTTACAATAAGCTACATAGAAAATACACAGTGTAGCACGAGTATGACGTTTTTTGCTATAGTTTTGAATGAGTTTGGTTTCAAAGTTTAGCGAACGTTTTAGATTTGTACCCACGTTTTTAGCCCGTTCAACTACAAATTCCGAAATTTCTGAGTCAACGTAAATGCACCATCGTTTACGCGACAGGGCTTCATTCAAGACCCTCAACGTTCTCAGAGGCTAAACATAATGCTAATACAAGCTAAGCTTTATTAAATTACACGACCATTTTATTAAATTACAAGACCACTGCCACAAGTAAATAAAATTAAATGTAATGTTCTTTAATACCGGTCTAAGTTTTGACTTATATTACTTTATGTAGGCGTTAGCATTCAGTCTGGCTCTTTTTTCCGCAAGGGGGCGCTGCTCTGAAAGACTGTTAGTTTGTGTGTCAACGAAAAGTGAAGAAGTTAAGCAAACATGGCGGCCCGCACACGGCTACCCTTGCTGTTCCCCAGAAACTTGTTTCCTTTTAGAAGCCAAAAGCTTGTCCACACTGACGTTTCGGTCAAGGAGCCAGCGTACCCTCCAATAGTCCCCTCTCTAACGGCTAAAAGTAAATCTGCGCGGCGGCGACAGATTGAGGAACGGGTGAAGAAGATATGCACCTCCTCTGTGGAGGACAAGCTGTCCCTCATCACTCGCATCCAGCGGGAGAAATTTGTAGTTTACCCTCAAACTTTCGCACGGAACGCAGACAGATGGTACCAGCACTTCACTAAAACCGCGTACATCCCGGGCCTGCCCGAGAAATTCACCCCGGGCTTGGAGAAGACCACAGCCGCGGTTCCAGGAATCGACGATGATGCGTTCGCGGACATACGCTCCTTGGTGACCCGTGTGATCCTGCAAGAGCACTGGCAATTTAGGAAACGCAAGCCTTTCATGTACAGACACCAAGAGCAGGTGGTCGGACCTTTTCTGAGGAGCCTGGTGTCTGGACTCACCTACAGTTTGGCTAAATACAACCCACTGCTGCAGCTTTCCAGTCTGGGTGTGTATGATGAAGTGGAACTAAAGACGCTGTAGTTAGTGGTGTGGATACCTTCAGGAAAATAAAGGCATTCATAGTGAACAACACAGACTTATATAGCAACAAACGTTCCAAGTAGATTTGTTGTTTCGGGCAAAAACAAAACTCGACTAGAGTGGCCCATTAAATTCTGAAACTTATCATAACACAAAAGTCCAGCCTTTATATAATAATCTTATGACTATTGCCAAAATAATACGAAGATATTAACAAGTTTTATTGCTCAAAACAAAAAGACAAGGAGTTCCAGATAGCATGAAGTATGAGTGCTATGTTTTTCTACTTAACGATCCTAGTCCTCTAATGTTGATCTATATTTGTTTTCTTAGATCTCAGTCCCCAGGTGAACTTTTATTGGAGGAGGGGTCAGAGAATTATCCCAAAGGGACATCGGAAACGCCACCTCGAGCCAACCAGGTTCCAGATCGACGACCGCCCGCACAGTCAGATCAGAGTAACCCAACAGTTGCCTCAGGTAGGCGTCCTTTTCAGACCACATGGATCATGTAATAGCAATAGATGCACAGCAAGGGTTTTTGATGGCCTTGCATAGGTGGGGGGAAATCACACAAACCACTTAAAATGTTTTTCAGTGATGTTGTCATTATATATTTAATTCTACTTTATTATATTGCGTCTCATTGCAGTGTTAAAAGGTTTTAATCCAGATTCACACATTTAAAGCATCGCTTTTTCTGCAGTTATATAGCAATTTTCTGATCTTGTCAAATACTCAATGGACTTCACTCAGAGTTCTGCAGTTATTTGTGTATATATTCAACATTATTACCACAAGGGGGAGTTTGGGGGAGACTGAATGGGCCCATGGGCTCTAGACGGCCTATCTTGCAAGTTGGGCTTGCAAATTAATTTGATCAAATTACTTTGTCAAATCGTATTTACTTTTAGTTTATGCCGCTGGAAGCCTCCCATGCAGCTGAAGTTCCAGAGATCACGCTTCGTCCCAATGTGATGCCGCTGTTCAGAAGGCAGTACGACAACAACATCTTCACAGGTGAAACAATGATGTGGGTCATGCAGGCTGTGCTAGGTGGTTCTAGACATGTTTTTCAGTCTAGTGAGTACATGTTCCTGGTTAGTAAACATGATCACATTTTTTTAATCCTGCTAATCTGATGACACACAGCCACAGCACCACTATGTTTTAGCAAAAAGCCCTGTGGACACTGTGTTTCAAATCGAATCAAAACTACTTTAAGTTTGCTGACTTTGCCCTAAAATCAGACTTTGAAAAGCTGTTTTTCTTTTTTTTTCCTATAGTTTTTTTTTTTTTATCACTCCTGCCACCATCTTTGCTGCCACGGAAATCTCCCATAAATCTTATTTCGGGATTCTTTGAATGTCCCGTCTCCCTTTATTATAATATATCTGATTCTATCGATCAGTCATGTTTGAACAGATTTTAGTTGCAAGCTCAGTAAAACAGTCCGTGTAGGGAGCAAAGGAGGTAGAAAATATATATATACTGCCTTAACCCAGAGCCCCAAAAACTGGCCACTGTCCCAAAGGCAAACTGATTCGTTCCCAAATTGTAATTCTGGTCTCACTAACAGGTCATCAGGTTGATTTTTCTCATTATTTACTTATCGTAATGGTCAGCAGGGGGCGCCAATGTGGAACTGACTGGTATTTAGTAAAAGGTATAGATTGTTTTTTGAGAACAATTATTTTAACCCCAACCTTGCTTGTTTTTAATCTTTCTGCTTCTATAGCAAAGTATGATAATAATGTAGCTGCAGGTGGTTTTATATTTGAAGTTTTCATTATCACAGAGGTTACCCAGTGTTTGGCTCATTTTTTTCTTTATTAATCCCCTCTACTTTCTGTTTATAACAAGCCTCTCTGTTTCATTTAAAGGTGCAAAGCTACCAGACCCAGCGTGCTACGGTCACACTCAGTTCCACCTGGTGCCCGACCGATACCACAGAGACCGGATGATTCGGCAGCAGCAGGCTGACCAAGTGGAGGTTTTCCTCAGAGCCAACGCGCTCGCCAGCCTCTTCGCCTGGACAGGAGCTCAGGCCATGTACCAAGGTGAGTTCCTAACACAGCAAAGGTGCAACAGAACTGAGATGCTGTGTTTATAAAACATTACAATACATATTTATGTCTTCATGTAGTTGATTTACTTTGTTCGCTGAAGAGATTTAAAGACATGTCAGAAAGTTAACAGAGCAAATGTCATCATGAAAAGCTTTTTCTTTATGTTCAAGTTGGTTTCTAAACATTTTCTAAAAAGGTCACACACTCACCAGCCACACAATAATATCTATCAGCATCTATCGGCAGCATTTCAGTGCATTTAGGCATGAAGATGCGGTCAAGAGCTGCTAAAGTTCAAACCAAGCATCAAAATGAGGAAGAAAGGTGGTTTAAGTGACTTTGAATGGGCATGGTGTCGTTCGTTGTTCCTCATACACCGGAAACTTCTGAAATTCTTATGTCAACGCAAAGTCTTTAGCATTTCTTAATACGAAGGATTCTGGCGTAACTATTTCCTTCAGCCTGGTGTTAGTATTTCAGAAACTGATGATCTACAAAGAAAATTCCAGTGAGCAGCTGGCTGAGGCAGGAGGAGATTGGTCAGACTGTTTCAGTTGCAACAGTAACTCAAAATCCATCAGTCTTGAACTCTGCTGTGACATTCAGGTGGTAGAGTACAACATAAAAGCATGGATCCATCCCACTCTGCATTAACGGTTGAGCCTGGTAGTGGTGGTAGTTTAATGATGTGGGGGATATTTGAATGGCACACTTTGCTTCTTTTGGTACCATTTGAGCATCCTTTACAAAATCACAGCCTGCCTGAGTATTGCTGGACGTGTCCATCCCGTTATGACCACAGTGTACCCATCTTCTGATGGCTGCTTCCCATCACGAAGCTCAAATCATCTCAAACTGGTTTCTTGAACATGAAAATGAGTTCTCTGTACTCAAATGGCCTCTACAGTCACCAGATATCAATTCAATAGAGAACCATTTGGATGTGTTGGAACAGAAGATTTACATCATGGATGTGCAGCTGACAAATTTGCAGTAACAGTTGTGCGGTCGTGTCACTATTGACCAATCTGAGAAATGTTTCCAGAACCTCGATGAATCTATGCAATGAAGACGTAAGGCGAAAGGCGATCATCCACTTAGTAGCCAAGTGTACCTAATGAAGTGGCAGTGAGCGTTGTTTTGCTTTTTATTAGCCTGGCAGTGCTATAGTGTCTCTGAAATCTCTGGGTATGTGTCGACTATCATAATTAATATTGGTCCAGAATCGTCATTGCAGCCGACCAATCACGTTCTGTGATGTCATAGCTTTGTGACTTTTGGGGGGAGAAGTTTGCCTTTTTGCAGCAAAGCTTTCTGACCAAAAGTCTGATCATGCTTCAGGTTGAAATAAATTTTCAAAAATAATAACTAAGTGTTTAACAAATGTAATATTAAGGGGTGTCTTGTTCCACCTGTCGACACGCAGTGTTACAGGACAAATCTATGACATATCCACTATGTTTAGTCTGTTTCCTCCAGAGCTGCAGAGCTAACAAAGTGACTGGTCAGTGGCATTACTCATGATGCTGCAGGAATAACGCTGATACAGGAATATGGGATTACTGCAGTGGTCTACATTTGGCTTTAAATCTGAGAGAAGGCGTAGCTCGTGTTGATGCTTCCCTCTCCCCGCTGTAGGTTTCTGGAACTACGAGGATGTCACCAGACCCTTCGTGTCCCAGGCCGTGATCACAGACGGCCACTTCTTCTCCTTCTTCTGCTACCAGCTGAACACAGTTGCGCTCTCTGTGGAGACTGACGCCAACAACCCCAGGAAAAACCTCCTGTGGGGCACAGAGAGCCTGCGACTGTACGAGAGCGTGCAGGACGGAGAGGTGGTGGGACTGAACGACGGCGTCGTCAAGCTTCTGGTTCAATTCTTCATGAATCAGCCGTAGTTGGATTGTAAGGGAAGGGGTGGAAATCTTTAGGCAGATTTCACTTAAGATTTTGTTCTCTAAAGAGCAAGATGGGAGTGAAGTTTGCCAGTT